CTAATAAGCATGATTCAAATATATGTCCTAAATTCATTCTTGAGGGAACTCCTAATGGACTTGATACCATATCTATAGGAGTACCATCTTGAGTGTAAGGCATATCTTCTCCAGCTAATATTCTTGAAATGACTCCCTTATTTCCATGTCTACTAGTTATTTTTTATACACATCTAGATGTGTATAAGAGACAGTAACTACCCTCTTCCCCCGAATGCACCGTACGGTCATTATAGCTGTATTTAGAGTGAACAATACCCCGAACACAACAGCTGTAATGACCGTACGTTATACTCGGCGGAACAAGGTAGGGCTAAGCTCAGAGGGTCGGGTGCTTTGCCAAGTTCTATTGCCAGATGAAGGGAGCATCATGAAATTTTACACTGGCAGAGACTGACAAATGTGTATGGTGTACTGCCAGAGAATGGCGACGCATCGAAGGTGTGTAGAAAGAGTTGTGGAACTTTCTCCGTGGCACCAGTAAGGGGCAGTAAGTGGCAGTAACGGGTTGAAGAGGGTTCTCTGGGACGTGGCAACTTCTAACCAGCACGGTTTTCTGTGTGCCTCTTATCTTCAAGTTTGGCAGGTTCACGGGGTGTTTTGTTCCTTCAATTTTGTCCCAAGAACTCGGGGGGGCTGGGTGGGGGGGGGGGGGGGGGGGGGGGGCGCAGTTTCGGAGAAGTGCAGCGAAATTGGGGTCAGAACCATGGGTCAGGTAGTAACGTGGCGGGGTGGGTGATAGGATGCGTCTTTGTTGGATTCGGATGCAGTGTGATTCTGCTTGGCAACGCTTTTCATTTTGGATTTTCCTTTTTTTTTTTTTTTTTTTTTGAGAAACTTCGTTGCAGTTGAGCGGCTTGAGCCACTCACCGAGGTGACAAGAGCATCGTCGTTAAGTGGAACTGCGTGGAAGGCTCCTTTTTTTTTTCCCCCCTTTTTTCTCTTATTTTTTTGAAAAGCCCATCTTTTTTTTTTTTTTTTTTTTTTTTGTTACATTCGGACGTGCTCCAATCTATTGGTGGGGAGCTGCACCTGCGGGAAGCCGGGTCCAGCGTCCCATTGACTAACAATAAAACGAAATGCAGCACCTCACAAACAATCAGTTCTGTCATACTTGTGCAACGGGCACATAGCCTCTTCAAGTTCAATCTTCAATGCTGGCAGGCGCCTTCCAGACATCATCCTGGTACTCGTCTACGACTTATGTTGTGTTTTAATGCATAAGGGACGCTGGACCCGTTTTCCAGCAGGTG